CTGGGAAGTTGCCGAACGCTTCAAGCTCTCCATATTGGTCAAAGTCGCTATCATAGCAACCCTTGAGGTCTTCAACTCCACCGGAAAGTAACGGGTATCCCGTCTCATTCCAAAATTTTGGGTAGTTACAAGTTTCGTTGTATTCATTCCCAACTCCGAAATCGGCATACTTTCTATCTGTGACCCATTCAACTTCGTATTCGTGGGCCCGGAAGTCGGCTGAGTCGTTCAGATGACCTTTAAATCCGACCAGGTTACTCATCCTGATTTTTTTTCATAAGCCCAGGGATACCAATAATAGTAGCAGCAGCACCGACTTACGTTGACAATGTGTTATCTACTAGCACGTACATATCCCGGTCGTGGATCTCGGTAATAGTTCGTCTCCAGTCCTCAATCGTGCCGAAATGCATGTCGAGGAGGGTGGTATCGACGGGGGAGTAGCCATCGTAGGCCCAAGGGAGATTCATCAAGTACGTGCCGGCGAAATAAATAGCCTAAATGGATCAGCTATGTAGTTCATCCAAAGTCAGCCTAGCTCACCTTGAAGCCCATGCCCTGGATGTAATCCAACGTGTCAAGTAAGCCGTCTAGATCGCCACCATGACGCATCTGGTTCGAGTTCAAAACATGCTCAAAGGAAGTCCCGTTGATGTCATCATTTGTCGGGTCCCCGTTGGATATGCGATCCAGAAATATGGTATAGATAGGGAATCGCCAGTTGTCTGGTGACGGATGATACTCATGGTCTGGCCATGCTCCCCAATAATCGATTGGACCTTCGGCGGATTTATTCTCGTTAAGATTGTATTCAGCGAGCGACTCAGTGTATGGCCAGCATAACGCATGGACGCTCAGAAACGACAGTATGAGAAATGCTGAGCGTTGCATTTCTGTCGATATATCAGGCCGAAACGCTAGGCACCGGAATTTGCTCGATCCAACCCTTTCGGAAATGCAAAGAAAACAATTCCTCTATGCGTTGAGCAAACAGGAGCTGTAGTTGAAGAAGAGCAAACGAACGAGCTTCAAAAGACATCAAGGATTTTACAACACAGGATGTGAGACTCTTATCAGCCAGACAGGCGTATGGATCGCTGTACTTTCACTACTACCGACCCACTCTGGGCCAAGACATCACTGTATCAATCCACCCACAGGCAGGGTTTTTCCCGCGGTGGGGTGGCGGTGTTCCTCAGTGGTTCGGATTAGCAATACGTGTCTCCAATCCTGGTTAGTTCGGTGTGTGTCTCAGACAGACCCAACAGAGTCCGATCGGGTGCAGCCGACAGTGTAAGCCTCAAATTCGTTTGCCATTATAAGCAAACATGCAAATCGAAGTCGATCCCTGTTTGATTACATTGTTCTGTCTTTGTGTGTATGAGATCCTATCAACCAACTCCCAACACATATCAACATAAGGGAACTGCCACGGTACTATGTAGATGAGGGGAGGTTTTCTCTCTGCTTGCAGTACAGGTATGCGAAATATCTATTTCAAACAGACTTATCTTATCTCTGGTATCTTTCGGAAGCTTGACCGATTGAAACCCGCTAGCTCTTTTTATAGGGGACTGATACAGACAACCCCCCTGCCTGAATTTACTCACCGCCTTTCTCGCCGCTTTCGTGCCGCCGCACTATGTTCTCTAGCAGCATCAACCGTCAAGTAAGTTAACTTAGTTGCTACATGTACATGTACACAGGTAAACAGATATTAATTCCCTTGAACAAGCAAATTAAAATTGCTCCGAAGTCTAGAAAACTTGCTAATAGTTTGTTTTATAGGAACAGCGTCGAGTGATTTTTTGCCGGTCAATGCTTAGCGTTTGATTTGATACGGTTGGTGGCTTTCGCCCAGGGTGACAATCTGTGCATTGCTGACCAGGCACTGATATCGTGGTTGCGGCTTTCCCGGACTTGTATTGCCAGATGTCCTGCCATCCTGTCTATGTTCCAATAGAACTCGTTTAAAACGAGTCGTTTTTAGCTTATTGTATTTAATGGCTTTTTGTTACGAAAAATGCATTTAAAACGAATACATACAGGTAGGGTGGCGGCTCGCTTGTAGTGGTGGCTTCGCATGTGGATTATAGTGACGCAGCAAATGTTTTAGCACCCTTGTTCAGACCGCTTTTGAGACCGCCTATTGTAAACCGAAGAGCAAGTTAATGATATCTTACCTTTTAAACATTCTTGTTTCAGTAGGAGTTTTTCATAGAAGGTATGATTCAATTCAATACACAAAGACCAAGTGTTTTGTTAAGAAACAAGTTAAAGGGTGTTGAAAAAATCCAAATTTTGACCGGCAGAATCTAAAAGATCAGAGGGGTGTTAAAACATTTGCTGCGTCACTGTACGTTACAAATACTATTGAAGAAAAACCTTGTGTTTTATTTAACGTTTATCTACAATATAATAATCCATAACGTACCTTACGATTCGTAATTATATGGCGAATCATATTGACAACCCGTACGTCCACTTTTAATAACACAAAGAATACAATCTTGTGTTTTTCTCTTTTTCTCATCTGCATAAGCGTATCAGGATCATAATTTATTATAAGAATTATCAAATGGTGGCATATATATATGAAATTGTCTGTTCTACCTATAAAATCAGTTAATGCTGATTTATCTTGAAATAATATTTTACATGTGCAACCATCTGGTAATGTTACAGTACATTTGTAACTACTTAAACTATTTACATATCCAAATTTTTATTTGTATACCTAATTCAATATAAACAAGAAATTGACGAGATAACCATGAAGCATGTTGTAACATTTCTCGTGGGGTCTGTAGCGGCATATTTGCTACTTCTGTTGTTCAAGGAGTAACAGATTTTCTCATTTAATGTATTTGAACTAACGTCAACAGGATACTCAATTACTCTTAATGCAGTATTATGATTAACTAATGTAATACTACTTTGATTGAATTCAAAAGTATTTAATCTACAATAAGTTGGTTCTACTCATTGGTTAAACCCACTTAAATGTGAAACAGTATTATCACGGAAACAATCCAAAAATAATTTTACCTCCTCATCTATAACTAATATTTACTACTAAGTTTCTTGCATAAGTAGTAGAATTATTAATCTCTTGACATAAATACAATCTATAATCGTTAGGAGTATCGGTCAAATACACTGCAATTGGGCCGAATATGCGCCGCCAATGATAGGCGGCCCGCCTAATCCACGGGACGTGTCGAAATCTACTAATAAAATGGAGGTGGGGTGTAAGCTTTGGCAGTCGCTTACTGAATGCGAGGCCCCAGCCATGCCAAAGAGGCTTCCTGTCCGGGTTTGATCGATGAATAATGTCATCGGCGCGCTGCTGTATCGATGCTGCCGGGGGGGGGGGGGGGGGGGGCGCCGCAGCTATCCATAAAGATAATCCAGTCAAGCAATGCTTTTTCTTGGACCGAGTCCAATGCCTTATTGGTGGCAGGTCGGCCAATTGCTGACCCGGCACCCCGAATACGGCCTAGCAGGGTCTGGTAACTAACGTCGAATTCCCTTGCCAATGGTTTGATCTTCGGCTCATTACGGTCATGGTAAGCGGCCAATGCATTGGCAATTTTGAGCTCATTTTCATCCGACATGATAGCGAGAAGTGGTCGAAAAATGAGCTATTTCATGGAGATATTAGCGGGAAAACGTCATGCTAAGGCCAATATTAGATGCATTGCGTTCTGATTTGCTTACAGTAAATAGCTTAGGCAATGCTCTTTTGAATGCAATATTTATGGCAGTAATTTGCTATCAAAAATGCTACGAAAATTGACGTTTTACGAGGTGGGTGAAAAGTATGGTTAGGCACCAAAATAGGGCCCGAAAGTATGGTCTAAAACCGGAGCCCCAACACCGAAGGTGTCTGGGGCGACTAGCTTAGCTAAGCATTGGAAGGGCCCGAGTAGTGATTATAAATGGTTTACGGGGCACTCTGCCCTCTGAACTCGTAATATTGAGCTCTGTATCTCTTGATAGTCGTGTACAAACGGAATGCAGATGTGAAATCCTTTGTATGCCAAATTGTTGGACCACGTAGTACATAATTCCTGACCTGATAGTTGATATACAATTGCTGGGAGGAAAGGCAACATCGGCTGAAACACGAGTCCCTAGTCCGGCTTCCCGAGCAAGATAATGTGCGACTTACTAGCACGGAACTCCGAAAAAGGAAACAGTCACCAAGTTGATCCAGGCCGCTAAGCGGGGAGGGCGAGGAGCTAGGCAAAGAATAAGACTGCTTCGACTGAGGCATGTCTTCGGTATTCCTCGATGTGGAGGGCTGAGGAGAGCAAGTGCGTCTTGTTTCAGAGGTAGATTCTTCAGACTGCTCCGAAGGTGATGAAACCAGGCCATTGTGTAGAGCATTATACTCTCAACGTGGAAGACCACCTGTCCTCAGCATAAGCAGGTTGTACCTTTCAGCATATATCCGCAACGGAGATCCATAGTCCAGCGTTGCTGGTGACGCGATGGCAGTGTGAAATCGACCACTACGCGTTTCGGTAATACGATAACCGCTTCACCTGACAAAATATTGATGCGGAGAAATCTCACATTGTACGTAATATGAATGTGAATATGAATAATGCGTTTATTCGCATTTCTTTATTCTTTTCGGAGCCCTAAGTGTCTCAAGATGCTTCCCCTTTCCACGGTTGATAGCCTATAACAGCTCCCTAGATACAAAAGTCTGTTCTTCAGGAGAAACGGAGACAGAAGCAGGCAGAGATGAAACACGAGAGAATCTCAGCTATCAAATCAGGGACTGATGACAAAACTCAGATAGCCCCAGCAGCATGAAGCAACGGTAACACATGAGGGTTGAACCTTCCTTTTGAGCCTAGAGGAGCACTCATACATTTGAACGGTCCACTCACGGTATCCGACCCCAGTATCAGCGTCTCTCACCATCAATGACCGGAATCGAAAGACTTCCTAGATCATTGCTGCCTTTGCCTCTCGAGAGCTCATCCTTATAAACAGCTGCGTGCTCTATCACCCCAGAAGTACGATGGAATTGTCAAAACAATGGGTAGGCTGACCACCATAAATATTATCATATACACCTGGATCCAGCCCTTCGACTGGACCCAATCTACCGCAACGTAGAGGAAGACAAGGCCAATGGCATTCTTCGCCACGTTGACAATGACAAGAACTTCGGATGCAAAGGCGGGATAACAGTCGACAAGGTAGGTCACTGCCACATTTGGCGCGTATACGGCGCCAAATGCCACAGAACGCCAGGCGGTGTCCGCCCATTCATCGTCAAAGCCAGGGTCGACAGGAGTAAGGCAAAGAGAGAAGAGGTGTAAAGAAGTGGAAGAACTGACCCATGCCGAATCCGACTGCGATGAATGCCCAGTAGGGTTTCCTGTCACTGGTGAGTGCCACGACAATGCAGCCAATAGGCCCAATGAATGAATCGGCCCCATGGATACTAGCCGTAGCTCTGGTACAAATACACCGCGGTTTCGCTTGGTCATCCGGGCCGTAATTAAGTCGCAGACGTACCCGCCGCCGAAGGTGGAGAGAGTGAAGCCGATGATGGCGGAGATTTGCATTAGGCCCACGCTGCTAACTGGGAATAGGTAAGGAGGCGCCATGAGAAGTGATGGGAGGGCTAATCTAAGCCGCCATATGTTCGCAAGCCAACCGTCCCGCGATACAATGTCGCGGGGCTCACAAAAAGAACCACTAGCGACGAGAGGGCGCTGGCATAAACAAACACTCCCTAAAGAACAACCAAGAATGGTAGGAAAACAAAAGGCACGGAAAAAGCCTTAGCTAGAGATAGGGATTGATTTGTGTGGAAGAGTGATGTGAAGACCCGGCGACGTGAGAACTTGACAACAAAGTCTTCATTTTCACCAACCGATGGGCCCTGAGCATTCTCGACATTGCTTACACTGGGGCCTACCTCGATTGCTTTAGCGTCATATGGCGGAAATAATGAATAGGTGGCTGGTGACGGGACAGCCAGATGCGGTCGTGTGAAGGAAGACTCGGGGTGCAAAAACAACGAGAGCCAGGAAATCAAATCCTGCTAGCGCAGCGCAGAGCCAGACAACGTCCCCACAGGAACCAGGGCTATACTCGACCATAAAGCCGGCCACGAGTGGCCCCACTGCGGAACAGGCACTTGCAAGCACCACGTAACTGCTCAAAATAAAAAACGGTATAAGCTGTAGGAATGTCGTTTGGAGATGTGCTCTGAGGAGCCAGGTGGTGCTAGCCTGTGTCGGCTCTGGCGAGAGGAGGACGGCCGTGGCCGCCTTCCCGAAAGCGAGAATGGTTTGAGCGGGATCTTGAGCTTGGTCTTTTCCCCAGGGCGTTGAGCAGGACAACTGTAGGCCGTGTCTGGGGTTCCATGAAAGTGACCTTCTTTGCAACTTGGATGTCTGCCTCCTCGACTGAGAATATCAAGGGAGGTGAAGTAGATTGAGATCTGGTGGTTGGCTTGGGCTTCGGCGACACGTATACCGATGGCTGCGAGAATATACTGGACACCAGTTGTGGAGGAGAGTCTGGCGATTTTAGCTCAAGCACCAACTGCTTTTTCGGGTCAAATACATAGGCGTTGTTGTCAAACGCAGCGTTGCTCGTCCACTTGATAGTATTCGTAGACACAGGGCGTGGCCGTTTGACTGTCGGTGGCGCCAGCAAATGTTCTTCGCGATTTGAATCAGGGTCCATGTGAGAGGCATCGTCGGCGCTCAGGCCTGAATCGAAGATGGCAGCTCGTTGGGATCCAACCGGAGAGCCGATCGGCGAGGAAAGTAGATCCTGGGCTCCGGTATCACACTCGGACACGGCTTCTTCGTCCGATTCATATCGATCTTGGAGACTATGCCGGCTTAAGCGGTGTAGATCCAGCGAGGTAGACCCGTACATGGTTCCAGCAGTCGACAGAACCGATGATAGTATAGAAGAAAGGAATAGTTGTCACCGGTATCAAGCTGTCAAACCGTGGATGGATCCAAAGAAGAAGAGGAAAATAGAGGACAGGAGGACCAGCCCTAAACTAAGAATGCCAGCAACGATAGGGTAAATGGAAACCAGTCCAAGGAGAGATGACAGCGCCCTGATATTCCACCGGGAGTAAAGCTGCAAAAGAGATCCAAAAATCCACTCCTTCACACACGGGGAGAGGATGACTCCGTTAAGGGGAGTGAGACCAGGGAGCTATGGACAGGGGATGCATTATTCGACTAAAGAAAAGATGGTGAAAAAAAGAAAGCAGGGAAAAGGCTTCGAGGGGCGGTACTTGCGATCTAGTGTTCCGAAATCGAAGGATCAAATCCTGCTCTGCTGGTTAAATTTTAACCGTAAATAGATCCGGGCTCCATGCCGTCGATATCTCTACTGAATCATCTCAAAAATCCTTGGTTTTCCCAAAAACAGCAGGTGCAATCCATACATTTTTAGTGGATCTGCCTTCCATAACCTCACCATCACCAGAGACTCCCTTTCGCACCAAGATGTGAATTAATCGGTTGAAGTAAAATAATGAAAAATACCAGACACGTTCGAAAGTCTCTTCCCACTCCATTTTTTGGGTCCCTCTCAAAGTATATTTATTACCTACCACGTGGCAGACTGGGAGTTGGGGTTACCCCGAAAACCTTAACGTATTGTGTAAGCGAGTGGAACATGTAAGCGAGTGGAACACCTACGCGTTAGTTTCGCGTCATGTTCATTACATCAATTTTCAACCACCCACAATGCCACCAATTCGCTCTCAAAGCTCTCAAAAACGTATAGAGCAAGAGGGTAGGATCTTATTAGCTATTCGCTCTCTTCAGTCCGATGAAAAATGCTCAATTCGTCAATTGGCTCGCGATTTCGACGTCCCGCTGAATACGCTCCGTCGCCGTATGGCAGGTGTCAAAAGTCGCGAAGAAACCCGCGCCAACAGCCATAAATTGACTTTTTTGGAAGAGGAATCCCTTGAGAATTGGATCATCTCATTAGATGAGCGTGGAGCTGCCCCTCGGCCAAATACCGTACGAGAAGTGGCCAATTTGCTACTCGCGGACCGTGGGACTGACCCGACCGAGACAGTCGGGGTGAAATGGGTCTATAACTTCGTCCAACGGCATCCTAACCTCTCCACTCGATTCTCGAGGTCTTACGATTACCGGCGAGCTCAATGCGAGGACGTGAAGATGATTACAACGTGGTTTAACTACCTTCAAAGTACGATTGCGAAATACGGTATCCTTGAGGAGGATATCTACAATTTCGACGAGACTGGCTTCGCTCTCGGCCTTACAGCCACTGCAAAAGTTGTGACGAGGACTTCGTACGGTCGGCGAGCTCTTTTACAGCCTGGAAATCGCGAATGGGTGACTACAATTGAAGCAATAAGCGCGTCGGGGTATACGTTACCGCCATGCGTCATTTTTAAGGGTAAGGTCTTTATGAAGGCCTGGTTCGGCGATACAGACCTACCGGCGACTTGGCTTTTCGCAGTTACTGAAAAAGGATGGACTACGCATTCTATAAGCCTTGAATGGCTTCAAAAGGTCTTTATCCCATCGACTATAAGCCGTACGAAAGGAGTATATCGTCTCCTCGTCCTTGACGGACATGGCAGCCATCTTACGCCTCAATTTGACGAAATCTGCGCTCAAAATAATATCATCACGATCTGTATGCCGGCGCATTCATCGCACCTTTTACAGCCTCTCGATATCGGCTGTTTTGGGGTATTGAAACGGGCTTATAGTGAAGTGGTTGAGTCCCAGACAAGGCTTGGCATACACCGCGTCGATAAGAATGACTTCTTAGAGGCATACAAGAAGGCCCGAATCAAGGCATTTACAGAGAGCAATATTGTGAATAGCTTCGCCGGCGCTGGTATCAAGCCATTCGACCCGCAGCACGTTATTTCGAAGCTTAATGTCCGCCTTATCACCCCCCCCACGACCTACTAGCCATAGTAGCGATTCAAGCCGCAATTTTACTCCAAAGACGCCGCGAACAGTGAAAGAAGTGAAGAGACAGGCCTCATCTATTCGGAAGCTCGCTGCCGATAATCCTAGACGTCTAGGTGATGCGATAGACCAAATGGAGAAAGGCTGTCAGCTTGCTATCCACAGCTTCACTATCGCGAGGCAGCAAATCAATGAATTGCTTGCCGCCAATGCGAAAGTGACGCGTAGAAAGCGGCGTACGAAAGCTCAAATAGCGCATGAAGGTAGTCTACTAGTTCAAGAAGCAATAACGCGTATTAGTGGACCGGGGCAGGTGGAAGAAGCTATACATGAGCAAGCCGGCGGAGCATCGCCGACACCTAATCAGACCAATGAGAGACGCCCACAGCGATGCAGTCTCTGTAAAACGCCTGGACATAAGAGAAATAGGTGCCTAGAGAGGTCTGAATAGCCTCAGTTTTAATGAATTCGTATTGTGGTTGAAAAAATTGAATAATAATAGTAGATATAGCGGGCGGGTGTTCCACTCGCTTACATGTTCCACTCGCTTACACAATACGTTAATTTACAAGATGACAAGTATCCACCGCATCTCAGATACCCTAATTTCATGTAAAGTCAGATAAGGAGTGCATCAAGCAACGGAGTGACGAGCTTGGTTAGGACTGGCCACTTTTGTATCGGAACAAGAGGCCATAACCCCTATCTATATTAACGAACAACGCATAATTCCGCTTCCGAAGAGACCGTCGCCTCTCTCGCAGAAGAGCAGCACAACAAACGGAGCAGTCAGGACCAAACGTAGACAATTATTGTCGACCTGATACTAACGATAGTGATCGTATAAAGTCCGAGACCCTCATCGACCACGAGACATTTGTTAGACCCTGAATCTCTGCAAGACTCAATAAAGCTATGACCAGTCATGGCATCCTTTGCACAAGTCTCCAGCAAGATTGGCAGTTACGTTCCCGTATGATTGGAAGTCGCTTTCCTCTTTTCCATCTTACCTCGCCTGTAACCTGTGATCACCCAAGGTAAGTGGAAACCCGCCCAGATATTAGCGACCGATGCCAGAATAGCCGGTTGAGCCGGCGAAACGCGCCATGGAACACTGTTCGTCCGCAGCGCTGCAGCAGTCACAAATGGATTGAATGGCTGCACTGGCTCGGGGTTGGTTGACAGGGGCACCGGTGGTGGTGATGACCGGGTGTTGCCTGATGCAGGGCGTCGCCTGGAGGCTGACGATGTCTGACGCTGGCCCCGATGTACAATGACTGATGGGGAGGCCATTCTGGAGCCATGTGGTACTCGTGCCTGGTTGCGGACGGCGGCTTCATACCACTGCTGGCCAACTTGGTCGGCCTGCCGTTGCCGGTGCCATCTCGCGCAGAGGAAGTCTCTGGCGACATCACAGAGCTTGGACTGCAACGATGACAAGTCAAATGGCTCTTTGGCGAGAGTGGTCAACTTTTGATGGCCGATCTTGGTGTCTTCAACTTTGATCGAGTTTTTGCATGGCTCGCCCCTTTTTCGTCATCCCGCAACAGGAGCCAGGACCGCCATTGGGGCTGACCTCTATCTCACAAACAAGAAACGGATTCCAAGGCAGCATGGTAGTTATTGAGGTGGTCGTCAAAGGCAGAAAATGCTTCGGATTGTGGTGGTGTAGGGCAATCACGGCGGCGTTCTCTCGCCAGCTTTATATGCCATCGCCGTGGGCTCCTTACCTACTTGGCTGTGTGGCTGGCATGGAACAATACCTTGAAACAGTCGGTACGTCGAAGAATGCATTCACACGCAGTATGCGCCGTATACAGCCGATCAGTGGCCTGCATGAAGGGATATCATTCCAGACCACTGCTGCAATCAGCTGCACATTTGACTATCCATCGCGGGGACCATACATTGGCGAACAGATTGGCTACTGCGGTGAGCAGCAAAGTCAACAAATGCTACGTTAGGTTCTGGGTTGCTTATGAATTTCGAAGTACGTGATAGGTTGTGATTTGTTCTTATGGCGCTAGATGCAAGATGTGGATACGTAGAGGTAGATTCGGTTCCCAGGCCATCGACACACTACCAGGAACAGTTTTGGCGTTCCCAGGAGCTAGACCCCACAGATTCTCCAACTCCGCCTGAACATTGTTGTCAAGGCTATGATGCTGCCGTGTGATTGCTACGCACCTTTCAGCCAAGTGACAGACTAGACTCCTAGCTGACCACGAATTTGGCTGAGGTGAGTATATAAAGGCCTCCCATATCCTACTTTTACAACTCTCACCTCACCCCCATCTACATTTCGTTAGCTCAATCCACTATCCCATCATGGTCTGTCCAATTCGTTCTTACGGAGTTTACCGATGAGCTAATACATTACAGCCAAACATCAGAGACTTGCCCAACGAGCTTTTGCTGTGGATTGTGTCGTATTTGGACGGTAGTGCATTATTTGCCCTCGCAAAATCATGCAAAGACTTTGATTTTAAACTGCAGCCCAGCATCTGGAAATACAACATCAAATTTCAGAACAGCAATCTTTTGCACTTGGCCGTCAAATACGACAACATTGGTCTTGCGGAGGCGTTGCTCCGGCACAACGCCAACATCAATGCATTTTACCGAGGCAAAACTCCTTTAGTGAGGGCGCTCAAATACTCTTCCCCTGCTGTGCGGGACCTCTTGCTCAGTCGTGGAGACCTAGACATCAACATTCAAAATCAAGCGGGGGAGAGCGCCCTGTGGTATGCTATCCACTACGGAACCTTTTCCGCCGTCAAAAGTGTCTTAAATCAACCCAACGTCCAGGTGGACGTCAAGCACAAACACGGCCGAACGGCGCTCCACCTAGCAGTCTTCGCAGGCCGAATAGGGCTCGTGCATCTGCTACTTTCTAGAGGCAGCGACCCTGATCTACAGGATGATTCGGGCCACTCGCCATGGGACTGGGCATGT